TGCGGCAAATGAGATGCCGAGATATCCCCGCGTGTACGTTTCGAGTGGCGTCGCTGCCTTCTTGGTAGCCACGGGGACTGGCGCCGGAATGGGCGATTTCGTCACCGGAATGTAGTCGTCGTCATCCTCGTCGACTTCGCCGTCCTCCATCTCGTCGCTGTCGTCAGCACTCGGCTGTTGGTCGGGATCCTTCTCTACATGCTCCTCGGGCGCGACAATGGCCTCCCTTGCCTCGGGCGACGTGATGACCGTCTCTGGGGACGTCTCCTCCGTAGTAGTAGCTACACCATCATGCTTCTCTTCCTCCATCTAGTAGCAGCGCCGAGATGACCCGTTGGGCTCGGCAATAGGACTGGTATTACCTTGGCCATCGCTCGCCAAGTTGCAAAACGCCCACGGCTTCCACGGTTGTGGTGATCCCCACGTCATTTTATTCACAACCAGATATACAAATAACAAGTGATATTTTTGCTTGAATGTAGTTTTGGAGGCCGCTGATTGGTCCCCGCCCCACACGCATATAAAATAAATATGATAAAATAGAAATCCACTGCATCGAACAAGTTCGTACACCAGTGCCATGCTGGGGCTTGCACTCCAAGTGGAAGCAGGGTTTCTTGTCTTTCAACGGCATGCATTGGAGCACCGAGTCAACATGCGCTAGAAAGAGGACAGGTCGCTTGGAATTGAACTGGCCGAACGCACTCGACATGGCCCACTCGTTTGCGTGTCAACAAATCGCTCAGCATTCAAAGCACTGTGGTGCTAGTACGATTTTGCGTGTACTTTAGCTTCTGCTATTGACCGCACGTTGAGCATGCTGCGGTGGGAATTTCATGCAGAGCAATGGGGCAAAGTGCTTCGACTCGGCTCCACCACTCTGAGAGGGCCTGGGACCTCCACCAGGTACCTTTACAATAGTATGCCCTGGCTACCGCGTTCGATACTCTAGTGTAGGAGCTCAGTATCAAGAGTACTTGATCTTTATCAGTATTTACCGATATTTCATCATCCACAGTCTCTTGGGCGTGCCAACGTCGTTCGCTTGGCGCCATAAAATTGTTTGCTGGAGTCTCCGTATGAGCTCGCGCACCTGAAGTTCGGATCCAAAACGGGCGAAAAGATCCACGCCAAGCGTCGCGGCAACGCTTGATTTCATTTGTGTTTGAGAGCGTAGCGCAGTAGCAAGCAACGAGAAGACCATGGTTGGCTTTGCATGCAATATGACATTCCAATACTATGCTCGATAGATCCGCTTCTTCCTTTTGCAGAACCGCCAGGGCAAGACGCGCCTGAGCAAGTGGTACGTGCCACCGCCGCCGGACCTCGAGAAGCCGCGCCTCGAGTCCGAGATTCACCGGCTTGTGGTTGCCCGCGACGCCAAGCACACCAACTTTATCGAGTTCCGCTCGTACAAGCTCATCTACCGACGCTACGCAGGCCTCTTCTTCATTCTCGGCGTCGACTTGCACGCGAACGAGCTCCTGTGCCTCGAGACGATCCATCTCTTCGTTGAGCTCCTCGACCAGCAGTTCCAGAACGTCTGCGAGCTCGACATTGTCTTCAACTTCAACAAGGTCTACTCCATGCTCGACGAGTACATCCTTGGCGGCGAAGTCCAAGAAACGAGCAAGCGGGAGATGCTCGACCGCATCCGCGAGCTCGAGAAGCTCGAGTAGTGCACAATGACCAACTACAATGATCCTTCCGTATCACCACAAACGCCATCGACATAGCTAACCAATGAAGCACCTCACGATAAGCGGTTAAGGGTAAGGAAGGTATCCGTGGTCGCGCCGTCACTGGTTCGATCTCGATCAAGACCATTGACCCGAAGTAGTGAGTAGGGCACGCCGCTTGACTATGGTGCGTAGTCCCCATACCGGGTGATGGAGGGTATCCTAGAGAGGTCGAGAAACACGAAGCTGGGGTCGATTCCTGGTCCACACGGAAGCAAGAAGATACGTGCTATTATTGAGTACCATCATCGTCGAGAGGTAAGAAAGCTAGCACACGCCACCCGAAGTCAATCATCCAAAAGTCGATTGTTTAAGCGGACTTTTCGGCCTTCTTCTTCGAGAGCTTCTCGAGGAGGACCTTCTTGACGATCTTCTGCTCCTCGATAAGGAAGGCACGGACGATGCTACAATCGAGGATGAGCATACAGGACGACAGTACGAAAGGG